TTTTTCTGAAAATCCAGAACTGCTCTGAAGGGTGTTTTCACATAGATTAAAGGGAGTGAACTTGTCCCAAACAAGTCCTGTGCTAACCTTCACATCCCGAAGAGTTAAAATGTTTGCTAGATCTACGGTTTTGTCAAGCCAACATCCACTTGGAATGAATTGTCCAAATAGTGAGCAAAATCACTACCACTGTATCACGTCTTTCTCGTCTAAAGGGTAAAGTCTATTCTTTTCCGTTGACAGAATTTGTTATTATGGCGACATCCAATTACCTGAAGATAGATTTCTGCTGGTTAGCTCTTCTACTAATATGCACTAAGACAACCAAATTCCTATGTAAATTTATGAATCTTAAAATTGTTGAAATGCTACCAATGTGTGCCCATGAGATATGGGCCTCGAACACTACGGAAGAAAAAAAATTATGAGTGAAACACACTGAAATGCCGAATGATAGGGGTAAAAAGCATAAAAGTAATGGTTACATAGCTATTCTTGAAGCAAGGTGGACTGCATGCATTGTGTTCAACGGACAAATTAGCAGAGGAAAATTAGACTTACCACAACAAAAGCAGTAATCGCCCAGGTTAATGATTAGTAATTCTTGAGCGCACACAAAAAAAATGCTTCCTCATTGTCACCTAGTTATTGCTAGCCAATAGGAATCTATGAAATTTGCAATAGTCCATATCGAAGAACAAAGATTAGTACCATGTCAGAAACTCTAGAAAACCCGTAAGAATTGGCAAAACGTTCGTCCTAGCTACGCCATTATCAATACAAAAAAGTATATTTTCCTTTAGCGGAAAAGTATACAATTCGATCTATAGAGGAACTGATACTGATGCATCTCGCGCGATGCATATGTTAGGTATGCAAAAACAGATGAAATCAGCCCTTCTTACTAAGCATCTATTTTCTTACTTATTAGTTGCAGATTTAGCGCGAACCATAAAGAGGCAATGCGGCGTAAAAATCCACTTCACGTCATTCAGTGTTCCCCTAATTGATAATCGACGGTTTGAAGCGAAATAATGAAAGCAGACCAGGCTAAATGAGAACGACATTTTTGGCTCAAAGTAAATTAGTAAGCACAAATCACTGTGAAGATGGAAAGCTAAGTGTGTGTGTGTCTAACATTCCCCCATAAGGAATTGGCTGAAACAAAAGAGGTCGTGTTACTGATGGGGCCAGTAGGCCAAAGCTGACCTTCAGTACTAAAAATGCCATAGAGCCAAACGTGTTAAATAGGTCTACGAATCAAGCGTGTTCTTTGAAAGCAGTCGACCATAAAATTATCATTTGATTTACCAACCATGAGCAATCGACTATAGCCACTGCGATTTGATTCATAATTCACTACTAGCGGAAGTTCATGACTAAAAAACTGTAGCAGCAGAAGATAAAGTGCCCTCCATCCATGCTCCAAAGTAGGGTTAGGTGCAAGGTGTAGGCCACTGATGAAGCGAGCGACACCGCCGAGACGTACGTATGGCTCTGGCCGAGCAAGAAAAGACTCTAAACATTTCACAGATTAGGCATTGTTAGATGATTCTATCATATTACATGCAGTGATTTGTTAATGCAATGAGCAATGATTTTTCACACCACAGGCAGTGTGACCTAGTCTCATATAGTTTCTTTATATATAGTAGTATACTACACTTCAAGGGATTTGCTGAACCGAATAGCATTATGCTGTTGCAAGGCCAGAAAGCTGGTAAGTATGTCTAGCACTACATCACTTCGTCTTGAGGGCACGTGGTGCGCCCTCAGGTATTGGATAAGAAAATGAAATGCAAATCAAGAGCAGCCATTTACGTCCCACAAACTTATGTGTATTCGGGGAATAATCTTTAAAGAGCAAGCCTAAATTACTATCATTCGATGGCATAAATCTCGCACATTGTAAGAATGTCATTGGTTTATGAGAAAATCTTTTTTATAAAGCTGCAGGAGGAAAAATAAGATTGCGTTTTGAATACGTCGCGTCGACATTTATTTGCATAATCGTTTCCGTTGCTAAGAGAATTGTGGATTTTGTGCTGGAATTATAAGCTCAAGCTTTCTACTTTTTCTCATGTTGCTGGGGAAGTGGTGTTTTTGCTCACCAATTAATTCTTTAAGGTATATGTGGAACATCATAACACTGCAGTAAAAGGCAGTAAAAACACGAGAGGTTTCTGTATCACTTATCACAATGGCTGTCAGCCCAACTGAGTTCATAAAGCGAGATTGCTTACACGAACAAACCTGTCAAAGACTGGTGGCTGACAGTTGTCATAGAGATATTGAAGAATGAGTGGTGGAGCAAATGTACTTCGGTGGTGTAGTGGTAGCACACATCCCCGGTAGGGATGAAACACGGGTGCAACTCCCGTCTGTGCTCGATTTTTGCTCACCACGCAGTTTCCTTAGGTATATATGAAACATCACAACGATGCCAATAAGGCAGTGAAAACACTAGAGATTTTGGGAGTACTTATCGCTGAATAAAACGTGCTGATACTAAGTCTAGGCCACCTAAGCCTTATATACGAAAAACATACGATCATGTGGAGAAATTCTTGCAGTATCAGAGTCATATTTCTTTCAGAAAGCAGAGAGGAATCATAAATCTGATAACAAAAACTGCACTCCACATGTAAATTGCCCGTGCGTGATCGATCGATCGCCTAAGAACCCTCAGTTGCTCAATCACTTACCCGAGTAATAGGGGAGTGTATGAAGAGCAATTTTTACTCCGTGGTACAGTGTAGTAAAAGGCTTTTCAGAAAACAAATAGCTCGTCGGAATTGCCGAAACATACGCTATCGAACAGTTACTAACAGTTTAGCGAAAGAGCTCTGTCGCGCCGAAATATGCGTGTGGAACATAAATTTATTTTCTCTGTTGTGAAAACCTTCCAAAAAAACGAGCACATTTTTGAAGTTTCCAAGACTCATACTATCGGTAAGCAATATTACCTAATAAAAAAGCTCTGTTCTGAGTAATATGTGCGATAAATCGACTTTAAAAAGTGCATTTCCAAACTCTCTAAGATTAGAGTTTTTGATTTAGTCTCGAAAGTCACTGTATGTTTTCGTTCAACGGGTAATTTCTTTTTCAGAAATTCTTTTGGGCAACAAAATAGTATGAATGGGACAAGACTTCTCTAATGACATAGTTCTTGTGAAATTAAGCATCAGTCAGGAGAAAAATGTTGACCGGTTGTAACGCTTGTGAAAATGATTTCGACTAACCAACGAGAATACTTGAGGAGCGGACTGGTTTTTAATTACTGTTATTTCATTCTAACATCTTATTATATTTGTTACTGCAAAGTACACTACTAACAACACGAGTTTTCATATCTTGAAAGATGTTTACTTGTTCATTTTGAACATAGAGGAAATTGAGTCTCATCGCAATTTGCAGTTAGAGTATCAGTTCATTTCTGTCACACGGCGACAAATGAATATTCGATCCCATTTGCTGGACAACAATTTTTTCATAAGCTTGTTAGCAGTCACCAAAAGCTCAAGTCTCTGGCTAGCGCTCGACGTAGTCGATTCTGAAAAAGTCTCTTTATAGTGCTGTAGCATCCTGAATTGAATTATGTTTCACGCCTGCCGCGCGTCTTTACTTTTATCACATGTATAATTTGCTGGAAGCCCACAAAGCATATGAACACGTGGAGGAAATTTCACAGCATCTAGTTCAACTGTTTAATATGGATTTTCTTTCAGAACTGAAAAAAATTCCCAACTGAATAACAAGTTGTGTCCCACATGTCTAACACTCTAGGCCATCAATCCATCGCTTCTCCTATCAAGCCACCAATTAGCCGGTGAGCAAGCTCGCCAACTATTTGAATTCGATCTTATTTTCGTTGCTCTACTGAAATAAAAAGACCTTATCAGAAAATAGGCACAGCGTTGGAACCACTGAAACATACGCTATCGAATGATTACTAATAGAATAAAGAAAGAGTTCTTTCCAACAAAACCTAGAGCACAAATCTTTTTCTTCTCTTATAACGTTATCAATAAAAGTTTTCCTTAGAAGCGAACACATTTTTGAGTTCTTTGAGACTTCTGCTAATGAATGAGCACCAGCACTCTAAAGGAGGAATTTTGTCCAGCGAAATATTGACAAGATAAGAAAAAAACGCGTGGTCGTGTGAAACATAATTTCATTTTGTATTTTACAGCGTTATAAGAGGGTGTTCTAAAAAGCGGCATGTAGTGCGCTAGCCAAAGATTTAAGCTTTCGAATGATTTCTAACACTCCTTTGAAAAAAACATTACTGGGAGTGAAGTCGAATATCTTTTGTCATCGTCTCTCAGAACAGTACGAAAGGCAGAGCGGAGCTTGAGGGAGTATGGTGAACGCTTCCGCGGAAAAATTAATCGTAATAACCTCGTTTATAAATGTATAAATACATATTTAATTTTCGACTATGTTTGAAGAGATATAAACGCGTTATAGCATATTTAGTGCTATGAGATTGTAATCGTATCGGCCTCATCCACATCACCAGCCTCGTTTCTGTATCTGAGCAGCATCGACATCATTGTCACGGCAGCTACTCCATAAACATTAAGTGTGTATCCGACATAGATCAACATCCCAATCTATCATCCTGCTATTTATTTTCATCCCTGAATGTTGCTACATCTGTCTGGCAGACAAGGGTGTCAGGGGCACACAAGAGATGCTGTCTGGTGGCTTATTGTAGACGTTCGAACAAGAGACACTACAAGATGTTAGCTATAATATAGAAAGGAACAGCGCTTATTTCAATCACTTTCAATTAGTGCACTTTCAAATAATCCACTAATTTTGCTGGAGTTCCCCTGAACAACTTTGAACATCACGTTAGCCCGCTTACACTATTGCTTGTCGCTTCGCATCTTGTTTAAAAAGTCCAGATGCTCACTACATTTCTCTACCTCTTGTTTCATGTACAAAATGATATTTGGTTGTTTGCTTACATGTGCAGTTCAAACTTTGACGCATTTTTACATTGCCAATAACGCCCGGACGTTGTCCGTAGTAAAAGCCTACACGATTGACATTTGATGTTTTAACCGATTTTAATGCTTCCTATTACAAGTGATAGGTTTTTAATTGATTTGAGCTAATTTGCGGGGAAATACACTGTGTTTCAGTATGATATGGAATTCTATGCTTTCATGTATCGTGGGTAGTCAAGTGACAGTGGCGCAGTAAAAAAGTGTGCTGCCGCCTTGTACCACTTTCGTCGTACCATGCCAAGCCCTTATTAAGTAGGGCAATTTCCAAAAAGATATAAAAGTGTAATTTAAATAGAATGCTGCATAGCGGGTTGGAGAAAAATATTGACTAAGGCAAAAACTTCCGATCTTCTATTACACTCGGCATGAGAAAGTAGTGTCGCGTGAGCTGAAAAGTTACCTCAAAATTGTTATAGAAAGATTGTTTCAAAAAACTTATGATTGCTCCTGGCTTTTTGAATCTCACTCTTTGTTTCAATCATAATCACGAAACCCCTTCGCAAAATAGTGTACCTTCTTGGGTACACTCGTCTTGCTTGCTTTGAACAGTGTGCGTGTGTGTGGGCAGAGTAGTCAATGCCCATTATTGCCGAGCATAGTTTTTTACCAAGCTTTTCCAATTATCTGATGCCTTGTCGAAAAGGATTTTATATTGGGGATCGTCTAAGGAAGGTAACTGACAATGTACACTTCACGTTAGCCACAAAACGATTTTTTGTTATTATCTAGGGAAAATCAATTTGATATATATTTCGAAACTATGCTCGAAATTGTGTTGCAATTCTTTTCTTCGTGTTTTTCTCACAGAACACGGCAAAGTTTATTCCATGTCGCCAATTTCGATGCAGATCGGAGTGTTATTGGTTATCTGTGATCAAAATGATTTGGGTTCCAAGGCGAGTTTCACCTCGTTGACATCGCTTCCAGAATGCTCGCCCGACTCTTCGCTATCACACCTTCTGAAGCAGCCTATCTCTTATTTCTGAATTCAAAGGATTTTTCGTCAATCTTTTAGTTCAAAATGTTATCAGAACTCACATTGGCTTCTTAAAGAAGTTGTCATGCACGATTTGTTCTTTCAATGAAAATAGAGACGATAGAACAGCTAGTGTCCAAGCATGCACAATACCCAACAACCATACGAAACTTGTGAGAAAAACATTGAAAAGTAGATGATAGGAGATACCGTAGTCTATGAAGATTATAAGTGGCTGAATGAAGGTGATTATCATGTGTGACTCTAACAATATGATAGTGTGATAGAACGCGCATAGCGCACTGATAAGAGGTTATCTTTTGTGAACACATGACCATTGTTCCATCGGCGCGCCATGATATTTGAGCCACCAATCTTTTCGAAATTCAAGTTATAACGAGATTTTTCCGCAAATATGGAAGATTTTTCTTCAGTAGACTCCTTCAAATAAATCTATACAGGAAATTATGTTCAGTCACCCATGCGAGCTGAAGGTCAAAGTTCTCTATAAACTCAAGTAAGAAATGCATTTTCCTTGTTAATGTGCCATGCGGCTTTGGAAGAGGTATTCATTGATATATCCATTTTCACTAATTCACTCGCAAAGTTCGTTTTTAGTTTGAAGTTAGACAAGGCTAACAATCCATATATTACGGTAATCAGCATATGTTAGAGAGCACAACAAGGAAGACTTCCCTGTACGGGATGAATTTCCTATTCATTATGTAGAAATCAGGAGCGCATGTGGCGCAGTGGTTAGAGGTGCCCTGCGTCGCACACGAGGTCACTGGTTTGATCTCGCGCTCATAGCTCACCAAGCCATACATCCCTCCGGGGTCGGTAAATTGGTACCAGACAGGTCTCAGATTTGTCTGGTAGGATAAGCAGCACTGAATCGGTTCAGCGGGAGGCCACCGCGAGTCATTGTAAAGGCCAGATGTGCATTCAATCACCTCAAACGAAGTTAAAATTGAAGTCGAATGCATGGCGCATTCCTCAGGGATTGATCAACTCCGAGAGCTTTATCCTTTGAACTTTATGTAGAAATCACCTACCGGACAGAAGATTGCCACAAAAAGACGGAATAATAGATTCATCTATGTACATCTAATACCGAGACTGAAAAATGAACATCAATTGTTTCTGTGGACCTTTTCGTTTTCAAAACTATGTTGTATAAAATTGCATGAATTTACACAACCAGATGATGGAGGTGATTTACATCAAATGAATCACAGAACCACTTATAAAATGGATGACATTGAAATATGATGAAATCGTTATCAGTTCCAACGTAAGATTCATTTGAAGAATAGAAAGATTAAAGCTCTCGGTGCTGATCAGTCTCTGAGAGATGTGCCATGCATTCGTCTTCAATTTTTAGCCTCATTTGAGGT